GGATCGATTCCATACACAAACATATATACATATATATATATATATATATATACGATTTAATTTCCCCTTTCTTCGAAATTAATTCCAAAACGGGTCAAAACGCGAAATAAAATTCTAGGATATCGAATCTAAAAAAAGAAACTAGATATTTGTTATAAACTCGCTCCACGAAACTACGATTTATCGTACTCGCGATCACACCCGACCGAGGACAATCTCCCTTAATCCGTTTCAAGATCCACCGCCCGATCAAACCGTTCCCCACGGACGATTTAATACCTCCAATTATCCGTCGATTCCTCTCTAAATCGTGTTGCCTGTCGCGAAGTCGCGCGAACCGTGGGGGACAGACAGAGAGAGAGCGAGTGAGCGAGCGAGCGAGCGAGCGAGAGAGAAAGAGAAAGCGAGCGAGCGAGCGAGAAAGAGAGAGAGAGTCGCCCGTAAACGCACAATCGTGTTCCAGGAGGGAGAGAGAGAGAGAGAGGTGGGAGGGGATCGGTTAATTAATCGTGGTGCCGGCCATTAGAATACGCTCCAGTTACACGTTGCGCTGAATCAGCGCCACCGTAAAATAATAGGATTCCAGTTTGTCGCAGTTGGCGACGCGTAAATATAGGGATCTCCCCGTTGGAACGACGGTCAACGACCAATTAGGTTGAGCTAGTGCCGTGGAATTTGCATCTTGTGTAAGCGACTCGGCCTCGTAATGCTCGCGAACCTCGACCCACCCCCTTTCGCCCACCGTGGAGATCCTTGCTGGAGAATGTGCATATATATATATATATATATATATAGGAGGAAATTTCGAAGAATTTTCTTAATCTTTTTTTTCGAACGACATAGTTTTCTTTTCCAACACGTGTCAACGTGTATAAGTGATTCTGAAAAAAAGAGTATATATATATATAAAAGTAAAGTGTATATTTTACTGGTTTATTAGTATAGCACTTCTGATTCTTCGTTCCCCGGTTGAAAATAGGGGAAACGAGGAAACATTTTCGGAAGCCGAGAGAGCTCGCAGCCTCTCC